CTGTTCTGCCTTCTGGGCCAGACTTTTCCTGGTACTAATGACTTGTTCCTATCCCCTCAGCCACAGCCCAGCTTCCCCTGCTCACACCTGACCTAGTTGTGTGCAGCCTTGACTGACAAGAAGCCCCAACTGCCTTTCTTTCCAGTGTGATCTGGTTCTCACCTCAAATAGGAGACTCTGTTCTGAGGTATGCACCAGAAAGGGCAGCAGACAGAGAAAATGAGGGATGAAAGGCAACCTCTGACCTGCACAGGCTGCCAGTCCAGTGAGAAGCAAGTGGGAACTCATAGCTTGCATGGAAAAGTCCCTCAGCACCTCTGGAAAATTACGTTGAGGGTGGGGGCAGTCCTGCAGGTCCATTGTACTCTCCACAGACCAATCCCTTTCTGGATGGCCCTTGGGCCTCAGCTCACACATTGGGTCTGGGGCCCAAACTTTATTCTTGCCTCCAACCCTATGATTTCCTAAATGGGGAATTTTTAGAGTTACCCTTTGATTCCAGATCCTGGCAATAGTAAGGGCTGAATGAATGATCTAATTAATTACTTAATTCAGCTGTCATCCCTCCAAAATCCTAAACACAAACCCCTCAAACTGCACTCTGAAAAATATCCATTTTGTTGGTAAAATGCTAGACTCTGAATCAGTATACCAGACTTCTGTTTTAGTCTGTCTTCTTCAGTTGGGAATGGAGAACCATAAAGAAACAGTGCTGAGCTGCAGCCTCTGCCTCTGTGCTTGGAGCTAGCAACACAGAGAGGAGCTAGACAGGGCCACAGACTAAAGTGAATAACCCCTCCTGTTGTGTAAGCACAGTTTCCAAAAGGAAGTTCTGCTATGTACTTAATTGGATCCTTTTATGCCGCCATGTATGCCATCCTCCTTCTCCCAGAGTAGAATTGAAACTCATTGTCTCTGAAATTCACAAGGGCTGCTCTTGCAAACAAGACCAGGAGCTGACTCTTAGCTTTTATATCGCCTTCACCTTTGTCTGATTGTGGAGTGTCTTTCTCCAGTTTTCAAAGTTTCTGCATGGGCTTTAATGAGTTAGTACCGAATATGTTTTTGTGCTGTTTGAGAAAACAATTTCCATCTGCTCATATATTGCTATGAAGTAATGGTTTCTTATTAAAAAAAAAAAAAAGACAAAAAGAAGAAAACTAATCCTTCCCTACTTTCTCCGCTCTAGTACTGAATCTCTGATCCTTTGAGGTCCAACATAATTTAAGTGTTAATTCCTTTCTAAGCTCTTTTCAAGCTACTGCACTCACTATGCAGATTTCATTAAACCTCACAGTCTCTTCCTATCGACGTCTCAGAAAAAGCAAAGTAACTCCTGCTGTATATTAAAACATTTTGCCCAGAAATAGTCTTTTGTCCCCATTTCTGAATATTTATTTATTTACTTGGCCTCTAGAAAGAAAACAGATGTCTGTTAGAACTAAAGGAGAATGCAGAAGCCAGGTTTCCTCTCATCTTGTTTGTGGGAAGCATCTGCTTACTCTGCTGCACCGGGAATCCATTTCAGGGCTGGCCGTCCTGAGTGGTTTCAGCCTTAAATCATCCTGTGTTGGCAAACCATAGCAAGGGTCAGACCAGGAAAGAAACAGATGAAGCCTGAATACAAAACGAGATTAAACAAAAAGCACATGCACGCCAGTGTTCTCATTGCCAACATGTCTATTCCTAATGAGTTCATCTTGGAAGTCAATGTGTGATTTCAGTGATCACAACGTTGAAAACCATTCTACTCTGAAACTTCTTTACATTTGTCATCTGGATCAGCAGGATAGATCCAGATTTTCTTTTAAGGGTAAAGTAAATTTTGAGAATCAGTGGCATGTATTAGGTGACTAATCAAGTTGGGTTGTTCCAAGTAGAAACTCTGAAATACTTGGGTTTATATATGTTTAAATATAGAACCAGTGACCTGGTTCCTAGTCTTAAGGCTGCCATTAGTTTCCTTTGTGATGCTGGAAATTTTACTTAAATACTTTAAGCATCAATTTCTGTGTCTGTGAAATGGAACTAATACCAGTGAATTTTTACAAGGTTTAAATGAATAATCAGAGTGTGACTCTTGTCCTTGCTACTTCTAAACCTTCATTTTGTATATTGCATTGTTCTGACCACTATTGCCATTGAGTTCTGGAGTCCTGGAATACTAGTGCTCAGGGGATAACCCGTCAAACAGTCCCCATGTACCAGATGAGAACACCGAGAACAGTGATTACCAGGGATACCACGGTGACTACTCTGAAAAAAAAACTTATTTGGCATTTATATTTAGGGTTGTTTTAAACACACGCACAGAGACACAATTTAAAAACACATTTTACTGAAGTGTGTAAGTATACTATCAAATAGAGTTTCTAATAAATGTGATACATTTTCTCTGTGGTTATAGATCACATCATTTATAGTCTGTTCAACCAGAGAAGGAATGGACGTGTTCAAGGTAACTAAAGGAACTCTGTAGCTTTTCCCAGAAAGGAAGAGTTTTTGTGGGCCATCTGTGTCCTCTGGAGTTTCTTAGTTAAAAAAAACAAAAACAAAGAGTGTAGTTGTCATTACGTTCACCTCTGGGCTTATCTAGTCATTCAACACAGTTGAGGGCTAAAGCATGGGCTGTACACAAAACTCAAAAGGAGAAGAGAACAGGAAGGAAGAAGAGAAATAATCCAAACTGAGAAAAGAGAAGACAGGGAAGTAGGAGCCTAGAAGGATGTCACCATGCCCTCTATAGGTGGCATCTGTTCTACCATTTGTTTACCTTAGGGACATTATCACAACCAAAGAGAGTATTGTTTTTTGCAAACAGAAAAACCCTCAAGAAAGATCCCCTTGTAGCTATTCTTACAAATGCTGAATATGGTATTTTAACAACTCCTGCTATTAGAAAGGATTTATAATTTTTAAATTGACAGATAAAATTATACATACATGTTTATCATGTACAATTTGATATTTTGAAGTACATATGCACATGGGAAGATGATTAAATCTAGCTAATTACCAAAGTCATTGCCTCATGTGGTCTTCATTTGTATGGTGAGAACATTTAACATCTACTCGGCATGTTTCGAGAATATAATAATGTCTCATGAGCACCTACAGTCACCATGCTATACCACAGATCTGAGCTTGCTCTTCCTATCTTACTGTAATTATGTATCCTTTCACCAATGCATCAGCCTCTCTCCTATCCCAGCCGGTAGTAACTATTCTGCTGGCTACTTCCATGAAATCAACTTTTTTAGATTTTCAGATCAGGCAGTATTTATCTTTCTGGGCCTGGATTGTTTCACTTAACATACTGTTAAGATTAATCCATGCTGTCACAGGTGAAAGAATTTTCTTTTTGAGTAATAGTATTCCATTTTATTCATGCATGTCATTTTCTTTATCCATTCATCTGCTGATAGACATTTAGGTTGACTTCATTATCTTGGCTGTTATAAATAGTACTGCAATAAGTGTGGCAGTGCAGATGTCCCTTTCACATCCTGATTTCATTTCCTTTGGATATATACCAAGTTGGAATTGCTAGATCATATGGAAGTCCTATTTTTACTGTTTTCTGTAATGACTATATTAGTTTACATTGCCATTGACAGTCTATAAGATTCCCTTTTTGCCATATCCTTGCCCATACATGTTATCTTTTATCTTTTTGATAATAGAGGTCCTGAGAAAGAAAAAAAAAATCTCTGTATATCACCTTATTGCCTTTGAAATTACTTTTTTCATTATCACAGTTAAAAAACAATTGAGTGTTTGATATGGAAAACCTATCTTTATTGTCCCTTTCCAGTTTTTGAGTTGTTTTTCTATACAGGACATAAAGGTTTCAGAAGGGTGGGCCAATTATTTATTGATTGAATAATAGGAAAAAAGTGTGATTGTCTAACATAATTCAGAAATGTGTATAGCTAATTTTGTGCCTGCATGTATTTAACCAGCCATAGTAATTATAATCACTGTTTGCAAGGTGCCCTCCCCAGGAAGAATAGGTTAGGTGAAACCTGAGTGATCATTACAAAATATGCACATATAAATTGAACTTTTCCAAAGCTAGGTCACCAGGGCAAGAAGTCTCTTTTGAGAAAACCAGGTTGACAATTAGATTCAGGCACTTCAGTGTTAAATGATATTCTCCCCACATTTTGGATCATAAGGCAGTGTAAACAATGCACTGATCTTATGAAACAGAAAGCTGCATTCACAGTAATAGCAAAGCTTCATGGTGCATGGTTTTACACTTTAATATGCTGTGCTCTGTTCTGCCATGTTAATATTTTAAGTAATATAATTTCCTTTTTTAAAATTCATTTATTCATATGTGCATACATTGTTTGGGCCATTTCTCCCCTCTACCTCCCACCCCCTCCTCCCTCCCCTACCTCACTTGCTTTCAGGCAGAACCTGTTCTGCCCTTTTCTCCAATTTTGTTGAAGAGAAGACATAAGCAATAATAAGAAAGACATAGAGTTTTTGCTAGTTGAGATAAGGATAGCTATACAGAGAGATTCCTGGCATTGCTTCCATGCACAAGTGTGTTACGACCCAAATTGATTAATCTCTACCTGACCTTTTTACTAGTTCCTGATCACCTTCCCATATTGACTTCTGTCGTTTTAAGGCTACTGTATTAGTTCCTCTGCAGTGGGGACATCAAACACTTTTGGTTTTGGGTTTCCTACCTATCCCCATTCCTCCCGTATGTGCTCTCCCCTTAGTTGTGACCCAAGTCCAACAACATTGTTGCATTTGCCCTAGATCTAAAGTCCACATATGAGGGGAAAAAAAATAATTTCCTTTTTGTGTAGTTTTAGGTTCTTCTCTTCTTTTCTGGAATAGCTTTCTTTTATGCTAGATTAGGAAAAAATCCTAGAAAATAGAAAGTGTAAAGTCAAATAATATTTGTAGCATAATATCAAAATGGCAATGGAAATAATTTAAGGTTCTCCAATCAAAATATTATCTTTTGTGCTTTGCAGACTCAATCTGTGTCCCAGGCTTTGATCCAGGCCTCAACATGATGACTGGAATCACTCCCATCAACCCAATGATACCAGGCCTGGGGCTGGTACCACCCCCACCACCAACAGAAGTGACTGTTGTCAAAGAAATAATCCACTGTAAAAGTTGTACTCTTTTTCCTCAAAATCCAAGTAAGTAGCACCTGTGAGAAATATTTGCTCATCATTTTAAATTTCTTTTTTCATTGAAATTAGTATTACATTAATTTTCACATTTGATCACACATGTACATAACAGTGGGGATCCATTCCACAGAGGCTTTTGCCTCTAGAGTAGAACAAATATACAGGGAGGTGTCCATGTGTCTGTCCAGAAGCTGAATCAATGCTCTGATGCCAGCATGTAGCATTTGGGGATTTACATCTAGTATTAAGAATCTTTTTGCACGCAATGGAGTCTAGTATTTCCTAGAGAACATCGTGTGAAATATATAAGCATTTCCATCTATCTTCACAAATGTGGGAGAAAAACTCTGAAATGTGTTTTGCTAGATGGCAATTTGAATTAATTTGGTAGTTAGCAATTTTGGGGTGAGGAGAGCTTGCATCTCAGAATTTCTCAACCAAAATGCATTTGCTAGAAGGACCTATATATTTGATGAAGTAAATGGACTGGATTTTTTTTTTTAATTCAGCTTCAGATACTGAGGTTATGGGCTTAAATAGCTAAGATTTTTAAAATTCGTATTAATCAGTGTTGCCAGTTTTAAGTGGATTCTTCAAGAGATTGCTTTAGTAATCTACATATAAACTAAGTAAAATGTTGTGACAGTGTACATTTTATCTTTTTATACAGCTTCCCCCAAATTTAATAGTTTGCTCATTTAAATGTGAATAATAACAAAGTACTTTTTCAGGCCTGGCGGTTCACAGCCAGGTAAGTACTGTGCATGCTTTCTTGGAGTGTGCTTTCTGTGTTCTGCAACACCACTCCTTTATCTGGCAAGAAGACAAAGCAGATTACAAGCTGTGGTTTTTCATCATGTTGTCATTTCATCGTGTTTTGTACTTTGTGAAGTTCTTTCTCCCCCTTTTTCTGGGCCTCTGTGTTATGAAGGAGAAATGAAATTATGCTAACATGTGCGTTGTCTTTGTTCATGGACAAGTATTGCCACTCTGTAGAAATGAACCCAGAGAATAAAGGTTGGGAGGAGGAGGGGAGAGAAACTAAAGCCAGAGAGCTCAGGAAAAATATAAGTTGGTCTAGAAGCTGACCACAACTCAATTTGGAGAAAGTTAACTCGGCAAGCTTGACTTTTTTTGCCAGGTGAACCAGGAAAAAAAAAACCGAATAAATCAAAGACAAAACTCTCTGTTTTGTTGTGACATTAGATCTTCCACCTCCTTCCACAAGAGAACGACCTCCTGGGTGTAAAACTGTGTTTGTGGGAGGATTACCAGAAAATGCGACTGAGGAAATTATTCAAGAAGTCTTCGAGCAGTGTGGTGATATTACAGCGATCCGAAAGAGCAAGAAGAATTTTTGTCACATTCGCTTTGCAGAGGAATTCATGGTTGATAAAGCCATTTACCTTTCTGGTACTTTGCTTTACATAAGGGGTTTTCTAGGCATTTTGTCATGTTTTGTGATGTTAATATGAGCTTATTCCCTTTTGCCTTAATGTACAATACAGTCCTGGTAGTTTGGGGCTGGAGAAGGAGGAATTCTGCCCTTTTTGCATGGCTGCAAGAAGCTCTGTGAAGCCTGCAAATGCATCTCACAGCAGGAGAGATTTCCTACCATCCAGTATTAAGGGATTCCTTTGAGTTTCTAATTAATGCTCACAAGTGCTTACTAGATGAAAAGCAATATTATGAGTACTGAGAACCATTATTATTACTGGATAGAATCCTCTGGAGGAGGAAAGTACGCTCTCAGAATAATTTCAGTTTTTAAAAAGTGGATTCACTTTCTCTACCCTAGGGCACCTAAGCAGGATGAGTTCCCTGTAGGAAAGTAGTTGATGGGCCTGTGATAGACCCAGTACCATTACCCTTCATTAAGCCTGCCCAACCATCCTTGTTCTTTGGTGCCAATTTTTATAAGAGATATTTACAGATGTTAAAATTAAGCCTAGTGCTGTTTTCTACTCTGTAGGTGTTGGAATAAGTATATGGAGCCTGTCAATGGCGTTTTCCAAATTTAAGAATAATGGGGCTGTTATTGATGTGTGGCTTTAGGAAGGAATTTTTTTCTTTTTTAGATTCAACTTGTTACCCTTTCCTCATACTCTCCAGTAACATTTTTTCATTCTGCCACTCTGTACATATCACCTCCTTATTCCTGAGGCAAAGCTAATGAGTAAAGGTGGGCAAACAAAAAGAAAAAATACATGATCACTGCCAGGTTGTACTTAATGTCTGCAGCATGCCTCTATTGCCATGACATTCTGTGCAAGTCTTGAGGTTATCTCACTACCTCAGAGGCTTTCCTGAACTAGATAGCACTATCAAGAACTTTCAAACCCTTTTTCCAGTAAACTTACCGAGTGAAAAATAAAGTCTGAAAACATTCCACAATGGAGATAGAAAACAGACTAGGATAAAGACATTTTGCAGCATGCACACAGCTATCCAATCATGGGGAATCTGGAGATTGCAGGGTGCTGTGTTTCACATGCCAGTCTGCTTTTTTGTCTAGAATAGTTACAGCTTACCAACTAGAGATGTTAGAAGGAATCAAATAATGCATACTAAGTTCAACATAGGAACCATTCTACACGGTTGTTTTTAACACAACCACCTCATCATGGTAAGGACTGATTGTTCTTTCTCAGCAAGTCCTTCCCAGGGGCCTGGGTTCTAATCACTATATTCATTTAAACTTACTTACCAATAAAACTATGAATAAGACTATTACTATCCTTCCTGATTCAGTGAAAGGGTCAGGGTAGATCAAAGGTCCTTTCAACACTAACAATACATCATTTAGACCAGATCAGAAACCTTCTTAAGCCACTGACAAAGATGAGCAGGCCCAAATTTACACATGCAAAGGGAATTCTTTTCCTTAAGCCCCCGAAGCTTCTTGACAGGCCCTTTGTAGCAGAAGTAAGGCCAGGGCAGTCCTCACCTGCAGCAGCCCCTTCTATCTGAGTACATAGAAGTCTCCAGCTCTGCCTCTGCTGTCCCTGTGCATCTGATCCCAGAAGATATGAAAGGCTGACTAATTGGAGGGGCAGGAAGGAGGCAGGCTGTGCCTCCTGCATGCGAGCTCCTGCAAGCCCAGCTGGAAGGCCTGTCTAATTTTAAGACTGTTCACATTTGAGGACCAAACTAATTTTAGTCTCAGCCTCATCAGTGTCTCTTTTAAGGACGTAATGATGATGTTTTGGTGAAAGAGAGGGTGCTTCTGGAACCGAAATGTCTGGAAAGTAATTTAGCGGATGGGAGCAGGAAAAAGTTGCTTGGCCAGTTTGGACAGCTGGCCAGTCCTGGATGGTCCTTCTGCTCAGCCGCTCTGTACTTTTCACTGTGGCCTGCTGACTTGTTAACTTTCCATGACTTGCAACCAAGACACACTTTGCTTTAGCATTAATTCTGCTCACTGGTGAGTGACTGTTTGTAAGGTTGATCAATATGACTGGGTCTTCCCATTTTTAAATATCATACTTGAAACCTGGGAGGGACAAAGGTTCAATGGCAAGCAAGTATCAGATATAAGATCTGTATCTTATTTGTAATTTTTTAAAGGTGTAAAGTGTGCTAGTGGGGAAAAGCCAGCCTGTACAGGGATTTGCAGCTGCATTTTAGCCCAAAAGGCTATGATAATCCATTGAAACCTACCATGAGAACTTGATTCATCAGCATAGCACAGCCAGCATTTTATAGTTGTATTTCATTTGAGCAGCCCTGACATGGCAAAAGTGCTTATTTTACTCTCTCCTCTGACAGTTCCTAGCAGCTGTGTTCCTGCTGGGACCTGAACTTATGTTCTAAAAACCAGAGTGCCCCAAATGGAAGAGCAACCTTAAAGTCAATTCTTCTTCATTTAAAGTTAGGCTGGTTGGCTGGTTTCGGTCCTAGGTTGATTTCTCAGATCAACTTTCGCTCATAATCTTTATAAGTTGGATAGCTCACTATAAATCCCCCTAAGATTTCCAGCCCCAACCCCTGTTTTTGGTTTTGTTTTGTTTTGTTTTGTTTAATTTAGCTCTGGGCTCTTGCATGGGGCTCCTAGAGTCTTCAAAGGTTGTGTGGACAATTTGTGTGATGCTGCATGCCAGATGAGTGTTGCAGGGCTGAGAGGAAGGCAGCAGTCAGGCCTCTTGATTGAAGGTAAAATATTCTCCTGCGTGCCCCAGAGGATAAGTGGAAATAAAACAGCATTGCAAAATTGCCTGGGTAATTATGGCTTTTGCAGCTGCTGAGAGAAACCGAGCAGCAGCATTTTCTAGAGGAATGAAGCAATAGCCTGTGAGTGCAGTGTTCTGGAATTTACTCTGTAGATCCCTTTAAATATCATAGATGCCCTTTATTTACTCATACCCCTCCTCTTTCCAAAAAAAGAATTTAAGACTGCTTCTGTAATAGAGTTATAGTAGACTGAAAATGTAAAACAGGTCCATAAAAAGTCAGAGAAATACTACATGCCAAATTCATTTCTGAGCTTCCTGGGAGCCAGAGAGAAGAAGGAGTCTTCTAATTCATGAGGTAATCTTTTGTTGGTCACACTGGATTGGAAAATGGTAAGAAAGCCTCTGAACTTTCTCCTGGAGGTGTCTTTATCCCCCAGTCTGTAATAGGCTTAATTTAGTAGTGTTTCAAGATTAGTGGGGAAAGATGTCCTGTCCTGAGAGCCAAGAAGTGAGTGCTTTCCTAACATCTGTGAAATGTGTGTCCATTGTGACCTTGTGATGTGACCAGACTTTCCACTGGTTTCAGGTTACCGAATGCGGTTAGGATCTAGCACAGACAAAAAGGATTCTGGCCGTCTTCATGTAGACTTTGCCCAGGCCAGGGACGACTTCTACGAGTGGGAATGCAAGCAGAGGATGCGTGCCCGTGAAGAACGGCACCGGCGCAAGCTGGAGGAGGACCGGCTCCGACCACCCTCCCCACCTGCCATCATGCACTACTCCGAGCATGAAGCCGCTCTGCTGGCTGAAAAGCTGAAAGGTATGAAGCTGCTAGTGCTGGCATTACTTCCTCTGTGTTAGCTACTGCCCACTGAAAGAGAACCACAATCTTCTCCAGACATCAGAGCCCTGTGTGTCTCTCTTCTCCCTTCACCTACTGATTTCATGGAGCGGGAGTGACCTGGAATCTGCAGACAGCTTGGGACAGACCTCGCCCTTTCCAGAGCCCTTTCCTACGTTCTCTGAGAATGTGTGTACTGTCACTAACAAAACTCATTAAGTAAGGGGGCCGAGGGCCAGCAGCACCAGGCCCAAGAGCAGGCTGTTATCCTCTGCTCCAGTGCTCAATGCGCCAGAGAAGTAGAAGGGCTCCACCTGTGAGCCAGGGGACTTCCTAGTGTTCTGGGTATTCTGCAGTTTGCAGGTCCATCAAGCTCCTACCGCCTGCTTGAGGCATTTTAGATGCTGTGCTATGATCCCTGTCTTCAGAGGCAGAGGTGAACTGTATTCACATACAGCTGAGTAGCAGTGTAAGAGTGTATATTTCATCTCCCCTAAGGTGGCCAAGGCCTTCCCTGGGTTTGAGGCTGTGAGAGATGAGGACACATGGAGACCTTAGTATCTGCCCTGTTGAACTTCAGTGGTGATGGAGAAGAGGCTGGATTTTGAAATTAGGATGACGTGTGCATGTGGATTCAGTTCTACCATTGGCTAAAGGGAATGAACTGAGCAATTTGTGAGCATTTTATATGTGAATGATGGTCAGACCCTCCTGAGGTCACTGGGTGTTAGTTTGGACTACTGTAGGTCACAGCCACCACAGGCAAGTGTCTGCAAGTAAACAAATAACTATAAACAAAGTCAGTGCCATGACTATCAAGCAAGTTATCTGTGGCAAGCTTTGGAAATTCAGGGGCAAGTGTGAACAATGGTGATGAAGGTATCAGGAAAGTCTTCACAGAGCAGGATGAAGTTGAACTTGGTAGGATAAATAAGATTTTTTTCCCTGAGATACAAAGGGGCATAAAAGCATTCTAGCTTGAGGCAGGAACCCTGGGAACAAAGACACAAGGGAAGCGGGGAGGATTTGGCACAGGCTCTGCATTTATAGAGGAAGGTAAAGCTGGAAACATGTCTGGGGCCAGATGGAGGAGCCTGGAAGGCTGTTGCTGGCTTTGGCTTTTATTCTATAAACAGCTGAGAGGCCATTACTGATTCCTGATAAGAAAGGAGTTGTGATTGATCCTGAAAGGGTTTCAGAGCCTAGCAGGTATATTGCTGGCAGTCTTAAGTAGATTGGATGTTTTCACTAAAGAAACTGTATGAAGTGCCACCCAATACCTATTGCAGAAAGATAGGAAATAGCATTGTTTGCTTTAAGAAAACAAAACAAAAACAAAAACAAAAAATGACCTGTGCTTCCAGCTCTTATCCCCTATCCATTTTGGGGATCCCTAAGTAGCTGCAACTGCCACTGACCTGCCCTATGAAACTATGGTATGCTTCTTGCTGACACTGTTGATGCCTGTTCTGCTATTCTGAGCAGGCCCACCATACAGGCTTAAATAGACAATGTGCTATCCCTTCATAAAAAGCTTACACAATGCAAATATGACACCATCTTACCTCTCCTTGCAGTCTAGAAACCACAAGAATGAACATTTCCAACCAAGAGTGCTCATTGGAACAAATGATTTTTCCTTGAGTATTCAGTGCATAGTGTTGTATCACCTTGTGATCTGTGTAGACTAAACTGTATTCAGTCATGTCCATACCTAGAAGTGTTCTGTAACCTCATGGAGGAATTCCATGAAAAGTTTGGCATCTCCAGAATGCTATTTTTATAAGAAAGCTGAACCTTAGTGTCTATGCATGTACAAGGTACACAGTACTCGCCTCTCCTTATGGAGGACAGCAGATTGGGATGTCAATTTGGTAGAGTAATTTGCAAGCCTTGCCATTTCAAAAATGTATATTTATATAGATGAGTATAATTTGCAGAATTCACAAGCTGTACCTTTGCCAAGTACTGTGTGATCCCTTGAGGAGAGAACAGATTGGAAATTTTAATAGATGGCTGTTACAGTAGAATGAGCTAGCTGAGGATACATCTTAGGCAAGACTCAGGTAATATCAAGCTTGACAATTTCAACCCAAGCACAGAGTTTAGAATATAAACAGCATTTAATTGCTTAGGAAATTGGTTGCCTTAGGAAGGAAATCCACTGCATGTTCTTTACAATGCTGCAAAACCAGCCAGGAGGAGCCAAGGAAACTGTTTCCCTGAAGATGATTTCCTTGATGTGAGGACATAAGATGCATCCAAGAAGTAAGGTACAGAAACCTGTGTCAGAAAGGAAGGGGAAAATGCAATATGAAAATCCCTAATTAGACTGGATTTTTTTTTCCTCTCCTGAGAAATCTTGCTGTCTCAGGTTTATTTTACAGATATTTCCCCTCGTTTTACATCATATTTATTCTTAAAATTTTCTTTTTATAGATCAGTTTTACTCAGCAAAATCTGTACAAACCAAGTTTTATTATAACCCACCCCACAATTCTTTCTATGTCTTGTCCAGTGGTAAAACTCCACATAGTAGGTTTTCAATAAAGTAATTCCTTTCTCTTTTCTCCAACTATTTGAATCTATGGGCATATTGCATTTCTGTAGTAATTCTGGGCATGACTGGAAAGGAGGGCACTAAGGTGTGCTCAGCTATCATCCCAATCACTCAAGAAGTATTTGTCAAGCGTTTTGCACATGCCTGGCACTGTGCTGGGTACTGGGGGGAAAAGGAAACAGTATAGCAGCCTCTGTCTCACAGACTTGGGCTTCTTGAGTGACAGAGGCAATAGTAAATCACCCTGCAGTTGCCACCTTCAATAGTGGGTTTATCACATACATATATTATAAGTGGCAAGTGCAGGGTGCTCTCCCTGGAGAGCCAACGTGAGAAATCACCAACCAGGTGGAGCAGTGCTAGGGTAAAAGAGGGGGAACCTTTTGTCACCTGCTCACCTCTCATTCACTCTTCCAAAACCAGAGGAGACACGGAGTTGTAATTGTGTAGTGTCTAAGGCATGGAGTCACACAGCATCTGTTTTATTAATACAGATTCTAAAAAAGAAAATGAGTGGGCACCCTGCTGATTAAATAGACTTTGTTCTGAGACAATTCAACTTAATGAAGACTGACTGGGAAGTTACTGTGCTTGGACCCAAAGTTTATGGCATGGCTTTGAGAAAGTGAGAAGGAGCTCGATAGCACCATAATTACACTTTATTGGAAACAGTGGCACCAGACAGATGAGATAATGAATTCCAGTGTGTCTAACACAGACTATCCCGCCCTGAAGGAGCCCAAGCTTTGGGCTGTGCAAGGAACAGATTGATTAGACTGTGAGGAAGCAGTCTATCCTCATTCAGTAGGGATTTCTCTGGGCAAAAGCATTTAAAAGTTTTTGTGTACTTTTTCCCCTTTGGAAAGCTGCACATAATCTTTCATTATGTGATGAAATGAAGAGTTTCTCTCTGGCTCAGAGAAGTTCTAACAAAGCCTTGCAAGCAGTGCCCTCAGGATCCCCTAGTGTGTCACCAAGAGTTTCATCCTCATGGGATTGCACTCATATTTGCATACAGCATGGCCAATATCAGCCTGCCAGAGAGGCAGGAGTGGAAGTGGTACTGGCATTTTGCAGAGATGGTTGTCAATATTTATGGTTCCATGAAAGTAAAAATCAATAATCCTATGAGCCAAGTGGACGTTCCATTAGCTAAAAGCCAGACCTCCTTCTTCAGGCAAGGGAAATATGAGGCACAGTAGTGTATTTGAAAATCACTTTCTTAGGTTTTATTGACCTTCACAGAGGCAAGATAGGCCATTTCATTCAGAAACATTTGCTTGACCCTGAAGCAGGAGTAATCAGTACATTTTCAGATTGCCCTCTTAATTTTCTCATTTTAAAGGTACTAAGTAGTGTAGTATGTGTTGGGGTAGAGGGAAGCATTAACCATTTGTGAAGCTTTTTCTGCTATCTGTGATTTAGTTAATTGAGCAGCCAGAAAATGGAGACTTGTTTAGGACAAATCCTCCTTTGAACCAGTTTTAACATGCTTCCTTGTCAGTTGATGAGTTAAGCGAAATCATTGGCACATGCTATTTTGTATTTGTAAGACAGTCATGATTTCACTGCCACAGACCTGTTAACAACCACAGGAGTACATGCTCGGCAGAAGCAGGGCCTGTGCTATAGTTATGTCCAATACACCTGGGCATGGCACAGCGTGGTGTGTATGTGGTAAATTTAAAATTTTAGATAGTGATGGGAAAGGAACCAAATTGGCAATTAGATTTTTTTTCTCCCTTTCTGTGTGCTGAGGGAGATCCAACTCTGATTTTCAGAATATTAGGTAGATCAAAGCCAGGCTATTAACACAGAATATGAAACTTAGGCAGACTGTAGTACACTTTTTTATAGCTGTATCTATAAAAGAACAATAGGAGGGTAAGTTCCACCTTTGAACAGAAAGGAAAGAAAAACACATTCTATAACACTTTTCTTTCCAAAGAAATGGATACAGGCACATACAATGAATGGTGTGTCTAATACAGTCATTACTGATTTCTGGCGTTGATGATAGCTCTAAATTGCTCACAGAATTTACCTTCTAAAGATTTCAGTTTTCTATTGAACAAGAATTCATTTACATTGTTGCAGAGAGGAATTTTCGCATCATTATGTTTTCCACAGTTTATGTTCTCTTCCTACAGAGTTGTAAAATAGTTCAAAGACAAGTAAAGGTTCACACCCCTGTAGAATCAAATAATAGGGGTGGGAGCATCCTGGTCCATGCCTGGCATTCCATGGAAATGATCTGCAGTAATCTCTATGCCTGTTTCCAAGTTCTTGAATCCTTTTTTTTTTTTTTTTTTTCTTTCCTGGATGGGAGTGACCATTATTCTTTCATCAGGAGTAGGAATTTAGGGACAGGGACAAAGCTCATAAGAATCACACCAAATCCTTTCAATATTCACTTGAGTTTCAGTGGCTACTTTTCATTACCTCCTACCTCAGATTAGCAACTAACTAGTGTGCTTGGCTTTCATTGAATCATTTCTTCCAGTGCCCCTCAAACTTCAATGTGCATGAAAACTATGGAGTAAAATGCAGATTCACAGTTAGGAAATCTGAGAAAGGCTGAATCTGCATTTTTAGAAGTTCCCCAAGGATATTCATGTGTGTGGTTGTGGTCTATGAATAGCAAAAGTTGTCCTATATGCAATTTTTTAATGCCTGCTATGTGGCAGATGCTCAGTAAACATGGAAGAGGGAGGAAGGAGGATGACAAAGTCTGAAATAACCAGAAATAAAATGAGATGGGTGTGAATTCAGGAGGTGGTATTGAGGAACAATACCTCATCATTATAACACTGCTTATTCCTCAAAAAGCTAACTAATGGGTATTACCTTCCCAGAATTAAACATGCTTTCAAAAATTATTTTTGCATAATTGGATAATCTGCTTAGTGCCTACTGCCAAAGGTTCCACTTCTCTGAGAATGTCTGACATCACTCTTAACTTTGATGGCCAGTGATAACGACCTCAGGCCTGAACAATTAAAGGAGCAGCCTGCCATGAGAGCATTTATCTCTGGCAAGACAGTGGCACATGTGAAAGTACTCTTTTAACATGAAATTAAAATTTTATTATGAATTATGCTTTCTGACTTTTAATCATTGAATCTATTGCTTGAAGTACTAATCACTAAAAATCTATGAGAAATAGAGTATAATAAAATATAAGCTACAAGGGGAAATATTGAAAGTGACCAGAAGACTGAAATATCTTTGGGAAGTTTTATTCTTATATCAGCCTCTCAAAACTGTTTCAGAGGTAATGCAACAATCGCTGTATAGAATGACTGTATTAGTAAGGTGTCTAGGGAGTGATGGAAACAGAGCAAAGAGGCACCTAACTCAAGCCAGACAAAGTGGCAGGAAAAGTTCCTTTGTAAAAGGGAGTTATGCTAAATCTTGAGGGAATGATGACCACTGAGTAGGGGGATGAGAGTGTGAGGGCCCCTAGGATGAAACACAAGCTGCTCAAAAGTTCGGGCCATCACCACAGTGCTTAACCAAGAGGGAGATGGCAAAGGAATGGGAACAGAATGAAGGGAAATGCCAATCAAGAAGGAAGACCAATGAGCAGGTATTTCCAGTAACCCAGCTGTGATGTGGTAAGGACCCTGCTTAGAAAACACTGGACAATTTTTAATGAGAAAGTGGTTCACATTCATTTCATAATATAGCAAATTCCCAGATTCTTACTGCAGAAAAAGCACATCTGCACACTCTAGTTTCTAAACTGCACCCATGTTTAGAGTTATGCCTGAGCATGTTCACAGACAGTATTTAGAATTTTTATAAGTGCGTCTTTGATGTGATTTTTATGAGCAGTGTTAATTTCCTTCCACATGAATAGCTTTACTAATGCTGCAATCTAAATCCTGTTTAAATTAGTTTATATTGTTTTCTGCTTTCTCAGTGATCTTTCCACTGAATATAAAATTGAATTTATAGTTGGGTATTGAAAATGACCACTCCCAATAGGCTTCTGTTGCCATCCAGAGGGAGTTACTGACTTGATCTTAATTAATGTAAATTAAAGTCACTTCTTACATGGCCACAAATATTGAGTAGAGTTACCAAGCATGCCTTTACTAATATGTTTTAAATTTAATTTGAATGTCAGTACATCAGTCATACATCAAACCTGCCTTTCAACGAGTTCAGAAATGAAGATGAAGTTGGGGGTTTTCAAAATGATATACTTCTCTTAAGCCAATTGAATTTTGATTACTAGTATTTGTTAACATGTTACAAAAATCTTTTGGCTACTTACTTTTTAAATAGTCTATTTTCACTTGCTTAATCCTAAGGATATTGTTTTTTCTTTCTGAAGACCATCAATTAACTATAATCTGCTGCCTTTAATTTACGCTTAACTTGTACTGTAGGTCTAGGAATGAAAAACAGTAAAATATGGTTTTCATACCAGTTGAGCAAACATGTATTTTTAAAATTTGTGTTCTTCCTGATGATAACTTAGTATATTTATGAACCTAGTGATCACGAACAAGAGAAGGAAAAATGACCCATGTGCCAGGGAAAGACAGATGAGCAGCAGTGCTCTCTCCTTGCAGTCCAAAAATGTGAAGGGTTTATCTTCCTTAGTACAGTGTAGAGGTTTAAGTCACAGCAAAGGCGAACAATAGTACATGAAGTCAGTGTTCTTTTTGTTGTTATTCTTTAAGAGGAAAAAAAAAAGATTTTTTTCTTATAAGCATTAGGTTTATTCCTGCTGTCTGTTCTGAGGTCCATTCTCCTAACATATATTGGCAGGGAGAGAGGTGGAGAGTGTGGAGGGAGGCAGAATTTATTCTGACTGTAACGGTTGCACTGGACCTCTCACAAACATAATGCTAAATTATGGGCCTCTCCATGGGCTGAGGGTAATGTCAAGCTGTATGATGGATTTTATCTTATACGAGCCACTTCGGTCCATGAAATGAGATAAGAAACCACTGCAGCTAGAGTTCACTGAGGGTTGAACTATGACTGAAATTCCAGACTTCACACAATTGCATGAGTCAGCTCTGATACTAAGAAGTGTACTTTGTGTCTGTGGATTGAGATTTCCACGGAAACTGGACTCTCACTTGCAGGCATTCCGTGGGTGTAACCAGGCCAGTTCTCTCCTTTAGTTCAAGGTGAGGACAGAGGAGGAAGGGGGTGGCTTGCTCAAAACAAAGCTTTGATGGCCCAGCACAGAAGACAGCTGGCTAAGCAGGAGAGGACATGAAATCCTGGCTGCTCTGCCTGCCATCCACAATGCTTTGCACTGGAGAAGACAGAGCATACTCCAGTACTGCAGGCAGCCTTGAGTCAGGCTATGCCCTGCTTTCACACAGTGCGCATATGCCCTAGGGGAACGGAGCAGGGAGGAGGTCTTTGGGGGAAAAGAACTGAAGATAGTTGTACAACATCCTATAAAACTTAGAAAGCGCTCTGCAAATGGAATACTAACAACCATCCAAGGGCTGAATTTTTTTTTTTAATTCAGTAAGTAAAAATAAAATTCCTTCATTAAACCTGAGTCACCTTCTGTCCATTGGAGTGAATTGAATATATGTTTATAGATGTGGGTGATGCTGAAGCGTGTCTGGTAGGCCTACCGCCTATTTCTGAGTTTTTTACTCAGAATTAGTTAAGAATCTGAATCTTGTAATCTTTTGCTCCTAATTTTTTTACTTATGAGTCTACCTAGTTTATTTGAAAAAAAGTAAAATAATTTTCCTAAATCACATTGTTCAGGGATAGAAAAATACAAGTGAACGACTTCTCCCCTCAAGTTTGCCTGGAAAATATGTGAGGAGCCTTCAGCTGTGGTTGGATCGATTAATGTTGTAATAACTGACATACAACTTCCAGTTGTAATTAATTTAATCACCTTCACACCTGTTTTTTCTTGCCTCTAAGCCATACAATACAGGTCTGTTCCAGCAACCATTCCCAAACAGGCAAGTATATTTGTTTTCTTTGAAATAAACTTTATCACTTATTTACAGGTGGAACCTCATTCTCTCCTTCCTGCCCCCAACCCCACCTCAAACTAGGGTCTTTGCAGTAGCTATGCAAAGCAAACGCTGACCATCTCAGGGAACATGCCTTCTTAGGGGAAAACAAGGAAATGTTCTGTTTTTCAGCCTAATTAAATATGTTATATTAACCCTAAAATGAAGAAGGTTTTGAGCTATAGTAGAAGTGATTTATTCCTGCTACCTACATTAGGAACAATATCTTCAATTCCAATCAGTTTTAAGGTAATTTAGTCTGTCATCCACATTTTGACACTAACTCAGCTGATTTTATAAATCAGAAAATGATCGTTGTTTAATATTTCTGATAAAGGAATTATAGTGGAAGCCAACAGGTTAATAACAGTTTATTTATTTATTTTTTTGAGTCAACCTTAAGAAACAGTAATCAAGGTTTGGTGTAAGAATGGGGCTGTAACTTGTTGCTAAGAATGCCCAGAAGAAATGTGCTACAGCTGAGCTCATGGAATTGGGAGAAACTCCTGGGTGGTTCCATGGGGCCATGAGTTAGACAAGGAAAAAGAAGTTAAGGAATGATGAAGCAGTTCGTCTCAGGAAAGCTAATATGTCCAATTCTGAAAATGTATCTACCAGGGTGGCCCCGGGCTATCTTTTGAGAGAACCCAGAATAAAGCACTTTGTCTTGCCTTGGCATGATTTGTGCTTGGTGTTCTATTTCCAGATGATAGCAAGTTTTCCGAGGCTATCACAGTGCTACTTTCCTGGATAGAACGAGGCGAAGTGAATCGGCGTTCTGCAAACCAGTTCTATTCCATGGTTCAGTCAGCCAACAGCCATGTTCGCAGGCTCATGAATGAAAAAGCTACCCATGAACAAGAGATGGAGGAAGCAAAGGAGAATTTTAAAAATGCCTTAACTGGGATCCTTACTCAATGTAAGTAAAATTTTGGGGGCCATCTCTTTTGTTGTGATTTTGCCTTTTCTTTTGTATGCATTTTATGTTTTCATTTGGGGGTAAGTAGTTCAATAATCTCCCATTTTACTCCATATTGGCAAACCTCATAATCTATTTCATGTTCTGTGGCACTTGAAGGAGCACGGACCCTGCCCTGAGAGCTTACTTCTCAAGGTGAGCAATGTTTCTGTAGCTTTTCCTCAGAACACCATGCCTGGCCCCCAGGACAGGGCAGCCAGGTGAACTTGTGCCTGTCGGACCTACTACAGTTCATACCACACCTGCAGGGCAGCCTCCTTCCACCTACAGGCTGTCCACCCAGACCCCTGCATGTTCTTCTGGGGCTGACAATAAAAAGCAGACCCTGAGCATGTTGGGATTAGGGAAGAAAGGTACCATCAGAAAACTCCACAGGATCCTTTATTTGAGGTGAGCTTTGGCTGTCCCCACAGGTAACTCAGCAGTAGAGATTTTTGTCCTTTCTTCATTTGGAAAGCAAATTGCCTTAACTACTTAATGTGGTAATTTTTCATGTCTAGATCCTAAATTGATGAAGGAGTATAAATGGGGCTTTCTTAAAGAACAATAGTCAAGATAATTACCCAGGGCTCTATTTTAAAAAAGGTCGTCTTCTTTTTCTCTGGGCACTCTCTCTGTGTCTCTAGTTAATGTCATCCAGCCTAATGCATCTCAGCTGCCATGTTCTTTTGCTTGGTAAAAGCCTTTAAATGACACTGTGACAATGCTATGTTCCATTCTGTACCAGGTGCAGTGGCCCACATTCCATAGCAACATGTGATTTCCATATTCATTCTGAGGATAAGTACTACTTGCAGTGACAGAATGTGCCAAAATGCCCATCACCTCTTTTTTCACTGTAAGCCCAAGAGAGAATGTATGTGTTAGGATGGGATGATCAGAAGGCATGCAAAACCAGGATTTTCAATATAAACATATCTTACTTCTGTGATTTTCTTGTCAAAAGACAGTTTCTATAGTAGCAGAGAATATCATGTAGCAAATTTGCAAACATCAACCAATAAGTGACCAAGTGCCCATTACAATACCAATCTGTCTGTAAAGAAAATGAATAGGGGAAATAGAAACACTCTGCCTCATACAGGCTGATATCAGACTGCCTTTCTTAACTCACCAGCCTTTAGAAAGGACCCTTTTTCTAACCGTGTATGTCCAGCAATTCTAAAGCTAGGGTTACTAAGGAGAGAGTAAAGAAAATTAATACTGACTCCAGCTTTCAAAGAAAGGAAGAAAGAAATGAATCGGTGGCCAGAAGGAAGGTAAGGGTGCCTTGGCAGAAGAGAAATGGACAGAAGGGAAAGCAAAACAACTCCAGTGATAAAATGGCTGCAGGATTGCAGCAGGAAATGGGCAGTAGAGTGTTTACTGTATCATTGGCCAGATAGCAAAGTTTTGCTCGTTTGCCTCCATTTTAAATAAATTCTTACCCTGTCAGTTTATAGTCCCACTTGGCAAGAAAGACTCAACCCTTGGCTCTAATGCTGAAGATAGGAGGGCAGCCACAGGAATTTTGTTTTCTTTGGCAATAATCATCGAAAGAGCAATTAAAGAGAGTCCCTTAAGGTGTGGCTAAAAGAATTAGACATGCCTACCTGTCATGATGCATGTGTAAGTCAGTCCACAGTTGAAACAACTGATAGATGAGAAGGTGTAACTGATAAGCTCCCATATATAAGTTTTTCATTACCAATAAAAGCCCCAATTGGAAAGTGAGGCTGAGATGTGCAGGAATAATGAGCTTCATAATGGTGAACCACAGTGTGGAGCATCTAGCCTCAGGAAGCACCAAAGACCACAGTCCTTATCCCTTGGAGCCCATACCAGGATGCATGAGCCTGAGAGGAGCAAAACAGACTAGCATAATGAATGCTGTCTCCTGAGAAGGAGTCAGCAAAGAACTGGAGTTAGGCCAGGAAACCCCATCTGGAAACCACTGCAGTAGAGATGGCTATCATAGAAATATCTTAGATATTTCACCCTTAAAGTAATAGTAATTGAGCTCTTGCTTTTAATCATTCAACCTGTTCCTCTTCTGACTTTTCCTTCCCACTTTGGTAGATTCTCAGGCTAGAATCTCCTAAGTACTTTTTATACACTCCATTCCTGCCACCAACTCCTCTAGCCAGGACATCAGGAAGTCCTGTCATTTCTACTTTTCTTTGTTTTCATGACCATTGTTCAAGTCCAAGCCATCTGGGCTACTATATTGCCTAGTGTGTCAGTTAGATATAATATCCACCATTGAGGAACAGAAAACTCTACCAAACTCTATCTTAAAAATGGAGTTTTTTATTTCTACTCAGTAAACTACAGATACCATTTTTTGTTGGCACTCATTCAATAGTCCAAGGCTTTACGGGTTGAGGTTTCTATGCTGCCCATTAGCCTTTTTTGGATGATTATCTAAGATGACTGCTGCTGCTCCTGCCATCACATCTCTTTTTTTCAGGCTGAAATTACATAAGAAAAAGGAGAAGAAGAAAGAAGGAATTGTGTCATTATAGTGAAAAAAGCAAAAATTGCCCAAGGTCCCCCACAGCCATCTGTATGTCTCCTCATTAGGCCCAATTATTACACACGGCCATGTCTAAGTACAAGGAAAGTAAGGAATAAAATTTTTTCTGGCCCATGGCTCTCCAAAATAAAATTGAAGTTTTCAATGTAAGGAAGAAGGAGAAAATGGCTATTGGGAAGTTATGCCAGCCACCATCCCTTCCTTTCCACTTTTTCTCTAGTTCAATTTGTTTTCCACATAACATCTGACATAAATCAGGTCATGTCTTCTCCTGAGATTCCCTGAGTGGCTTCACATTAAAATGCTGTTCACTCTTCCTGGTCTGCTAGTCTCTCTGTGCCTGCCTCATCCTCAGTTTTCCATTGACTCACTCACTGTGCCTCATCCCCACTGGCCTCCCTGCTTCTGGCCCATAAAGCCACCTCCCTCTTTTCCCTCTGCCGGGTATGCACTTCCCCCCCATCCTTGGCATATGTGAGTCTTTCTCATCCTTTATATCTTGGTTGAAAGGCCACCCCTTCAGAGTGGCCTTTCTGGTCTTTCTGGTCCACCTTCTTTAAGTAGATTTCCCTGTCTGCATTTTATTAAGGTCCTTTGTAGCACTTATCTAGATGTGTGATGATTTCATGGCTTGTCTGATTTTCATTGTAACAGGAAGGGACATGTCTTTTTAGTCATTGATAAGTATCAAATGCCTGGAACACAGAAATATACAACAAATTTGATGATGAGGGAATGAGTGAATGAGAGTGTATAGATTGGAAGGCAGTAAGGAAGGCAGCCTGAGGCAGGTGCAGTGAGAAATTTCTACTTTGGAATGGGTGTGAGCAGTATCCACTGTAACAGGGCTTCAGCCTGCACATGTGATGAATCAACTCAAAGATACGGTACACTAGCTATGCTGGTATTAGCAATCACCAAACTTTACCAGACTGTGAGTCACAGGCATAGGGATACTAGGAGAGTTGGATGAAAGAGTCATTAGAGAAATTCATGTTGGAGTCTCCCCAGTTGAACCTTCCAACAACCTTTACATAGGCAATCTACCCATTACTATTTGGGAGAATTCCTCAGCCCTGTAATTTGGCTCTGGGAAGCATTTCAACAGTGGAAAGACATCAAAAGACCGAAGACCCCAACTGATATTGACAGCCACAGTGTTGGCTGAGGTGTATGTGTCCTTGATAGCCAGGCTCCTGTCAGATGACTAAAGGCAGGAACAACCTTAAATGCAGCCTGAGCTGGAATTTAGCAGAATTCAGAGTCCTGTGGGAGGATTGCATATCTCCCTGACCAACCTCAGTTTTCCATTCTCTTCTGTGTATATTTGACAATGGCAACCACTCCCTGGGTGTGAAGGGAACCAAATCCTCACATCCATCATGAAAATATTAGGAGTGGCCTGACTGGCCTGGCAGACATACATACATTTTGTCATCCTGGGAATGTTAAATGTTTCTCACCTCCTGTAGTGAGTTTCCTCTTCTCTGGTGGGGTTATGTTCGTGTGTCTCAACCCCACCCTCTGCTTTCCCAGGCTTGATTCAGTGTGGTGTCAGTACTGTGAGGCTGCTTGTACAGCAATATTTGCTAAAATCCACAGCAATTGACATTCTTTCTGCATTTCAAAAAAAACCATAACCAGTCATATCCATTTATGTGCATTAATATTCCTGGCAAACACCCCAAGAACCACATTCTGTTTTCTCACTTAGAATAAGATTAGGTTGTTTAGCACTAATATTCAGGGAATGGTATCTCAGCCTCTTTCTTCTAGATGGTGGAAAATCTGGTAGCTCTGACTACTTCTCCCACATAAAAGCTCCTCAGTGCAGACCACCTGTTAAACAGCCAAGAGTGTCAGGAAGTTGTTGTGTGGCATTGTGGAAGCAGGTGCACTGATAGGCTAGCTTGTTATAGCAAGTGGAGCAGGCCCAGTGTCCTGAAGGGTGGGCTTGGTCAGCAACTTCCAGGAACGTTCAGGTGCATTGCAAATTGCCGAGCATGGTGGGGTTCCTATATAGATTTTGCTAGAAATAGCCAAATGGTTGAACAGGATAAGAGAAACTTCAGGTGTGAGTTCATGAAGCTTGACAAAGCACAACTATCTCCTTGCCTTATTTGTCACATTTGTCTTTGCTTAATTTGAAAAGCAGATGCTCAGAGGATGGGCTTGGATTACCTGCCAATCATCTTAGAGCAAAAAAACAGAGATGCTATTCCTTAATTTGAACGTTTAACAAAAAATGTCTTTAAAAAGACTACGAGTCATTCATAAAAACAGTAAGAAAAAGTTGTGGTGTATGTTAAGCTGTACATCACACTCTAGAAGTTACCTTCTAGCTTTACTGGGTTCTGTTCTGCCAATGTTTGCATAAGATCTAACCTTTTTTTAAAATTTTTTTATTATTGTTGTGGGCTGGGTA